ATGTAATATATTTCTCTGCATACTAACCCTACCACTAATGGTGGAATCAATAAAGAATTCAAAATATAAAAAAAAGTAAACATACGATAAATCAAGATAATTTAATATTTACTATAAATATTAATTTTATATATTTAAATATATAGTGTATTTTTTCAAACGAAGGGTTTCAGATGAGCCCTAGCTCCAGCCCTGCATACATGAATTAATGACGGAATAAGAAATTCTAATAAAAGGACTAAAAACAAGCAAGAACGTCACACTGAAGATTTGATTTTGTAACCTTAAGCAAATTCTGAGTAACCTTTAGCACTGTACAGTGTACACCACAAACTTGTCGTATGTTAGCGGAATTCAACCATTCATATATTACGATAAATGAATTTAATTGAAACTCCTGTATATACGTACCTAGGGAAGCTTCTCTACATAACTATGACCATACTAGACCTTGCCTTCACTGCTCAAGTACTGAGCCAATTCATGCATTGTCCTAAACAATCACATATGGAGGCAACACTGAGAGCATTAAGGTACATCAAGGAAGCTCTCGTCCTAGGATTATTAATTCCAGCAGAAAAGACTGCACAACTCACAGCTTATTGTGACTCATATTATGGTGCATGTCTAGAAACCAGAAAAAGTCGGTTACAGGTTATCTGGTGAAGTTTGTAGGAAGACTATTTTCTTGGAAGTCTAAGAAGTAAGGATAGTATCAAGAAGCTCAGCGGAGGCAGAATTCAAAAGTATGACTGCATTTGCAACTGAAGTAACCTGGATAATATGTCTATACAAAGAGCTGGGGGTTAGTGTAACTTTTCCAGTCAAAACAATATGTGACAGCATGAAAGCTATTCAGATAGCTACCAACTCTATCTTCAATGAAAGATCAAAACATATAGACATTGACTATCACTTTGTTAGAGAAAGGCTTTGTCAAAGGATGTTGCAATCTGAGCATGTCAACACCAAACATCAACTTGCTGATCTACTTACTAAGAGTCTGGGACAAGCACAACATAGTCTGTTACTGAGTAGACTTGGGATGAAAAATGCTTGCCAACCATAAGCTTGTGGGGGAGTGTTAACTAGTGTAAAGAGTTAACAATATGTATGGTTGATTTAGTTAAGTCATAAGTGTAGTTAGTTAACAGAATGTTGAGGTGACATGAGTTAGTTACAAAGTTAATTTTAGATATTTTGTATCTTTGGACTATTAGACTAGTATAAAAGGCATACATGTACAGATTCAATGTATCAGTGATCATATTCAATACAACTTGACTTAACCTCCATACATGGAGTTTTCATATTACTTTTATGTTCTGATTGAGACAACTGGCGGCATTGAATCTTATGATATATAACATCATCATTGCTTAATATGCTCTACTTGTTTAAAATACTTTGGTTGGTCATAACTATTTATATATGTTATTTAAAAGAACTTTATTTCATGTTTGTTTTGGATTTTTTGTTCTGGAACAAAAACCTTTTTCCACACAACTTAATCATTATAAGGTCTTGTTATGATCGAAATAATTCGGTGTCATGCAGAAGCTAGCAAAGTAAACTTCGAAAGACTATGACTAAGAAGACAAATGAGAAATATACCATAAGACACAAAGATATAACGTGGTTCGGTCAATTGACCTACGTCCACAAAGGAGATGAGCAATCCACTGTATAAATATGAGAGTACAAAAACTAGAGAGAAATAACCTCACCAATTCACTCGAAATACAAAGAAGTTCACACAAGTGATAACATATAACTTGTGTTCCACAAATTGCCCCTAACCAAAACTCTTAAAGCCCCTAGGACTACATTGTGAATGATTAAGTTAGAAGGAACAAACCTCTATTTCTAGAGTCCTAAATATTTTCCTACAAGAAAAGAACTAGTCAAATATGGAGAAACCTATTTATGGTGAAAACTCAGGGCGAATACCCAACAAAACTCCCTCTTGGCTTGAATATCTGACAGAATAAATTTGCTACGTCTTCTTCACGTAATGTCCAATAGCTTGCATCTCCTTTCCAAAATCTATGTCTTGATACAAAAAACCTCTCTAAAAATATAATTCTCAAACAAAAACCTCTATTACTATCAAATAGGTTGCGGCTAGAACTATACTCGCCAAGATGAACACCCAATTTTTAATTCAACCATCGATTATTGAACCACTAAACTTAGCTCCATCCTCGATGCATCTTTATCTGAAAAGTCCCACTTATCAGTTTTAAAGGTAGTAGGACTCTCGTAAAAATCAGTTTTAAGATTAAAAAGAGCATAACCATACTTTTCTCAAAATGGTGGTAAAATCAATGCATTTACAAAGTGGTTTTACCGGTATTTTACCCTCGAGAAGTACTACATATCTATATGAAAGTCGTTTTACCGGTATTTTGCAAGAACAGTTGAAGTGATTCAATTTTGAATATCATAAACAGAAAACAGAGAACCCAGAACATGATTGATAGTAAGTCGTTTGCCTTCTGTGACTATAAATTATCTCGTTAAGGTAAATTACTTTAAATATAGAAAAATGAACTTTTTACCATAGATATAGATTAAAAAGGAAAGTGAGCCACATAGTAAAATTGAAGAATGTTGAAAGAAACAAGAAAATACACCGCAATTATTCATTTCTTTCATGCCCCTTTAATTGTTGATCTTCCTGCAATTCTTCCTGATTTCTCCCCTGAAACCCGTTAAAGGTGAAATATTTCCCATCTTAACCATAGACTTTGCGAAATGCTCAAAGAAAAGCTCATTGTTCTCTGCATATTGTTTCACAAGTGCTAGTGATTCTTGATTCTTAGTAACAAGAACTTGATCTGAGTTCAATAGTCCCTTTGAAGCCAACAAGTTCTTAAAGTAGCTATTGTCAAATTTTATCGGGGAGACGAAATCCATGAAAAATAAGGTTTGGTCACCACCAGATCTTGGACACCTAACGCGCAATTGGGCAGCATATGATTGTTCCAGTGTATAGTCTGGTAAACTGTTTCCTGACTGATTGTAAAGTCTCTGCCTAAAGCTGGTGCATCTTGCATTTCCAATTGTGTGGCTCCCTGTACAACAAAAATTTGGCATTAATTGAGTGACAACTTGTTTACAAGTCATGTTAAAGGATATATAGTGCTCAAAAGGACATGTTAATATGTTGTCAGTGCATATAAGTTGAATTCGTTAACGTCTATGTCCTCTTGGAAAACAAAAGAGAGAAAGTTTTACCAGATAAAGCTACAAGATCAACAATATCAAGCCCCTTCAACTTGAATTTAGTAAGAATGGTATTAAAAGTGTTGTTTGGAGCAGGGATATTATAGTTGGAGCCACTTAAACTGGCACCTCTAGAGTCTTTTCTTCCTAATGGTACCTCCCAGTTTGGTCCACCAGCCTGCATATACAAAAATGAAAAATGTGAGGAGTTGCTCAGATGGTTAGCATCCTTCAATACTTCCAACCTTATTGTGAGTTCGAGTCATCAAGCAAGGGAGACAAAGGTGGGAGCTCATGGGGGAGGAGTTAAAAAAAATGTACTTTTACATGATAGCTATTCAACTTACTAAAACTGTTGAATCCCTTGCAGCTAGTGCCAATATGTCTGCACATGATACAGTTTGAGGGCACTCCTTCTCCAACGTCTTCTTAATTTCATCAATGACTTCAAATCCACGAACCGAATTCCTGTTGGGATTTGATCTTTTCTCACTAATTATGGTTCCACTGTTGTCAAGGAGCAGAGATGCATCACACCCCTACATGAAAGATTGAAAATAAGAGTTAGTCATAACTCAGAGGCGAAGAAGGTACATGGTCTGAAGGAGTTCAATTGAATTCTCTTTGTCGGGAAAGACATTGTTTGATTTGACACAAAATTTCCTCTATCCTAATTTATGTGACACCGTTTGATTTGACACAAAATTTAAGAAAGAAAGACATATTTTTGAAATTTATTGTCTAAAACTAACCTTAGATAGTTGTGTCACAGCAGTTGGGATCGGAGGGAGTACGTAAAATAGGGTGTGATATAATTACATTAGAACCTTACCTTGACAAAGCAATCGTGGAAATGCAGCCTCAGCAAAGAAGCAGCCATTCGAGCCTCTTTTGCTACGGCCTTGGCAACAATAGACTTGACTATTTGTTTAGCTTGGGGACATGACCGGTCATAAAATTGTGGGAATAGATAACCACCATAAGTCTTAGAAGACAAACAAATTGGTGCAAAAGCAAGGAGAACAATAACCATGAAGAAGAAAATTGATTGAGCCATAATGAAAAGTATTTAGTTAAGGACTTAATTAATTTGAGAATGTAATCATAAAAGTTATGGCTTGTGTTGATGAAATTGATCCATATATATAGTTTTCAATGAATGAATGGAGTGTTTGTTACAAATGGAGTTGGTAGCTTATTAGTTATGAAAATAGTATTAGTTTTTCACAAAGTGAAGCAGAGACATGTTCTTTACCAAGTACAATACCATGATTGATTTGGTTGGCAATTGAGAATTGACATTCAACTTTGTGAGATTTTAAATCATTCTTAATGCATTACAAATGATTCATTATAACTTCTTCCATTACTAATAGCTTAATTTGCTATATTTTTAAACCTTTGTAAAGTTGATCAAGGATACCAGCTCCATTTAAGTTCTTAAACAAAATGAAAATAAAAATTAATGAAAGCTATTTTAATTGAAATGCTTCTTAAAATAAATAGTTTTTAGCCGATTTACCAAACATATCGGTGAATGACAGAGAAAAGACAAATAATGTGCATGAATTGGCCTAGTCGTCCCCCAACCAAAATCCAAATATATTGTAGCTATCAAGGGTAAACCTTTAATCCAAAGGTTAAATGCAATCTGAATATTCATTTGGGTTATAATCCAAATGAATATAACCTCCGCTATTGTTGATTTCTTTTTCTTTGCAATAATTACTCCAAAGAGATCTAATTAATGTAATAATATAAGGAAGATTCAATTTATCATTAAAATTTTGCTTACTGAAATCAAATGAGGAATATACGTATCAATTAAAGGGGGGAAAGGAACAACAGAAAATATTCATGGAAAAAACAGAAATGAAGATGTTTAAAGTGAAACTAATGAGCGAAACAACAGGTAATGCTCCATACTGGCAACTTTGTCTGTCTTTCTTGGTTTCTTGTGTCTATAAATTATCTCATACTAGCTGGAGTTTGGCTAGCTCGCTTCACGTTCTTCTCGTGTTTGAAGGATAGCTGGAAGAGGTGCTGTAATTTTGATAAGCTGCAAGATGAAGTACTGTCAACAAGTTTACTTTGAATTGAGATATCTAGCAAGGTAACCTTGTTTAAATGTTTAGAAAAAACAATTCAACTGTCAAACATGATCCTCTTTGTATATTAACCAAAACTGAACTTGTCCCAGCCCAAATCTCAAGCATCGAAAGCTTGGAAACATTCAATCAATATAGTTCTATAGTAAGACCAAGGGAAACTGATGAGTACATGCTTAAGGTTTGTAGAGTCGAGACCCATCCTGCCTTAAACATCACGTTCAAGGTAGTAAGGTCCCATTTGGTAAAGTCAGTGCTGCAACCTGATAAAGGTATAGAGTGATAACAGCGATAAAGTAATCTAACAGTTTAAACTGTCAGCAACACTGTTTCATCAAAACAAGCATTTCAGATGAATACTCCTCTGATTCATTACTGTAAAACTGCAAATGACTAATAATAGAATCACCAGGGATGTAAATATGCAAATGTCGCATTGAAATTATTGAATTTTGTTAGATCGGTAACATCTAAATTACTGGTTTCTAAAACAATACTAAGAAAAACAACTAACCTCATTTGTGATTGGGTGAATAAGACCTATTTGATGTGCATGCAGGTTATATCCACAGTCTCCAGGAACAGGATTCTCTGGTCTTTGATAGCCTCTAATAAGAAAGTAAAGCCAACTAAAATCAGATCATGATATTAGCAGCAGACAAAGCTATTGTTCTTGTTTAAAGTGATTAGATAGAATAAACTACTTTCTGTTTCAATTTTAAGTAATTTGACTATCTTCGCAATTAACATGAAGGATAAAGCTTTATTTGGTCCAAAATAGGCATAATGTATAAACTATTGTAACTGTCATGATAAAGGTCACTGTTGATAAGTACTTTTTCGCTTAACAGGATAACCAAAGATGTGGAAGAAGGGTAATCCAGATAGCAAATTCAGTTAGTGTTTACTACTAGGACTATCTAATTAAAATGAATACCGACAAATAAAAGTCCAATTTCATACCCATCTTTCTCAAAACTTTCATCCATTAATTCAGGATGAAAGCACTTTGGTTGCCCACCAGATACATAAAGAGGATCACCTGGTAAGATAACAATTATTAATAAATCATAAAAGGAGCAAAACAAGTTTGTAATACTACTTACATGAAAAGAAAAGCTGTCGTAGCATGCTACAGTTATGTTACAAGAGCACTCCTAATTATACACAAAGATTAATCAATTGACATTGGTTAGTTTGATGAGGTATACAAATTATATTTTCCATAACCAATCTCTTTAAACAGACACCCTAGGGTCTATGAATGCAGTACTGTTGCCTAGAAGTTCAGCTTGCACACAGTTACAATTAACTCAGGGATAACAATTCTTAGCCTTGGACTGACCACATTAAACAGGGGAGCATACTCGGTAAAAATCTGAACACGAGATGTTTGATGAGAAATTACATAATGAATGATACAGTAAGGAAGTACTAACTGCTCTTTTTTATGTTAGCAAGTGTTTGTCAACGGAACAAGTATCTAAACCTGCATTTAGATAAGCAAATCATTTTTTCTTGGCTATAACCTAGAGGAAGAAACACATTCCAATGACCCATATTATTTACGTTGTAGAGGGCCTCATGTCGACTTCATCGGAGAGGTCATTGACATTTCTTTAACAAAGCAGATGCATACTCACAGGCATAGTTCAGGACTCATTCTCTTATTGTAACCCAATGTATAGACTTAAGTTCTTCCATCACCTTTTCTCCTTTGCTCGTGCTCTTAAGTAGATACTTACTGATATGCTTTCATAGAACTAAGAACAACAAATGTTTGCAATGCACCATCCAATGTCGAGTACTAGTTGAAACATGGCTGAAGTTGGTGAACTTCGTGTTTCTCTTTTCTTTTGTGCATGTTTCTTTTAGAAGACAAACTGATATTTCCACCTCTATGCTTATATTTAATTCTTTTATGATAGCGAAGGATAGATTATAAAATTTCAGATTTACCAATTAGTGGATATCCAATGAAAGAGAGGTGGATGCGGATTTGGTGTGGCCTTCCAGATTGAATTTCAACCTGTTAATAATGTACAACGTTAAGGAAAGAAAATATAAGGTTCCTTCTCCTGCTCAAGGGTAAGGAAGGTTAAGGAAGGTGGCTATAACATTAAATTTCTTATGTCTTGACTTCTAATACCTGAACCAATGTGCAGTTATTCTCTGAATCTCTTTCCAGAACGCGAACACTGCTCAGAGCTGGCTTCCCTAGAAAAAAAGATCAGAACAGATTAAGCCAACACTAGTGTCCTCTGAAGCACCACATGAATGATAACAACTGAATGAATCTTTTATAAAAAGTTAATCAAGGAAATGTTCGCCTAAAATAAATAAATTTGAAAACCTGAAGGAGAAGCAACATACAACCCTTTAGCAACTCCAGGATATTTAATTGTACCAATTGGTTGCTTGATGACAACCTATCAGTCAAAATTACTTTTAAATTTAAGTAACCTGATGGATTGACTGCCGTAGAATAGACACTCCAACAGAAAAATTGAAACCGGGAGAATAATGTTATGCTATTACCTCATCCATATCCATCACACCACTTACTAGCGCCCGATATATCTTGCAAATCTTCCTCATTGTATTGCACTCTGAGTTGGTGCATCTATACAAGTAAAGTTTAACCATCCGTGACAAAATGATCCACATAAATTTTTTACAAGACAAAATATGTGCTAATTATGGCAGAAAAGTACAGGAAGGGGAACAACATTCAAGAAGCAAATGATGTTTCTGAATTTTCTTTGCGGCTTTAGTAGGCGGTCCACAAGTGCCATTCCAAAAAGTGTTAAAATAAAGTCACCCTCTTCAGATTAGGATTTCATGTTTCTTTAATAACTGCATTTCTTCAGAAGATCAAAACATCAAAAGTTACAAAGCTAATCTCAAGGAAGAATGCAACAGAAAGGATTGGACCTAACGCCAAACTTTTAGTTCTTTACTTACTAACCAACAGCTATCTTCATTATATAACAAATAAGTCAATAAGCATGCAGAAGTAAAGGTGAACTACAAGTGAGATATAGGGAAAATGAAGTCTTTCTACGTTGGTAATATAAATAAAGTCCTTCATACTGGTCCCACTGCTCTTTAATCTGTAAGAACTTGGTTTTCTCTCCTTTTGGGGGTTTATAAATGGAGTGGGCATGATTTTGTAAAGATGGAAAACTGTGTAATCAACATTAACAACATACCCAGTGTGTTCCCACAAGTACGGTCTGGTTTAGGCTTGGAGTACCTTATTTGCTCCCTCTTCTCCTTTTCGATATTATCATTATTATTTTATTATTTCTTATTCTTCAACTTTATCACTACTTTGTTCTTTTGCTTTGGTTATCTTTCTATTTTTACTATAAATATTTTCTTAGTATTTCCATCCGAGCTTCTTTCACCTTGTATTTATTAAACCTATTTTGAAATGTTTTTGTTGAGCCAAGGGTTTATTGGAAATAGCTTCTCTACCTCACAAGGTAGGGATAACATCTGCGTACGCTCTACCCTCCTCAGACCCATTTGCCTACAAAATATTGTCCAAACAAAAGAAAATAAAGAAACTAATTAACCTCAGTATGTTGGAAACAATTAATGGAAGTATGAGGTTAATAAGTGAATGGTACTAATAGAAAAAAATGAATGGTAGAACTAAAACACCAAAATACTCAAACACTTGAAATCACTAAACAATTGACCCTTGTATAAGTATAGAGTAAGCTGAGTTTTCTCTCTAGAACTTCAATTAGGGGGGACAATTTCCGAGCTGCTATAGGCATTTAAACAGGAGTTTTTTGATTAAGCATGATGAAAAACCGAAGAATTTGGACAATCAGATGTTTAGCAATGTGGTGGCATATCCAACATTAATCAAGAGAGAATTTGGCATGCCAAATTAACAAATGTTTTTTAGAACAAAAATAACATTAATAAGACAACTTGAGCATGAGTGTCTGACACTCGAGCATAGACAGTAAGCTGTCAATATTGTATTATCATAGTGATGCTCTTAGCATCTTACTGATATTAACAATAGCAGCATAAGTATGTAAGGAAAAATATGGCATGTCTAAGTGGTGAAGCAAATTCAACATACTTGTCTTCAACAACTGACGTCCCCTCAGCAAAATATGCTGCAAGGCGAGATTTACAAAGCTTTGTTTTTGCACAGAGCAGTATTCCTGGAACATTCCATAAAAGAATCAACAATGTTCTTTCTTACTTGATTTCAGAAGAACAGAAAAAGGAATTCAAAACTGTTACATGAAATTTTTATAATATTAGATAGTGCGAATAGTTCTAGTAAAAACCTATTCTGCATGATGACTCAATTTTGTATTCGATTTTTTCCAGAATTGGTTATATTTCTGTTTCCACTGCAGAAAGGAGGTGAAAGATAGCTACAATTAAAATATTTTATTATATTTACGTCTAGTAATTTTGTTTATTAATTCAAATTATAAAATTCTCTACTACCATTTACGACAGGTTTATGTAATTCTGTTCTTTTTAAATAAAGGGACACGACATTAAATGAAAGATTACTCATCTTACAAATTATACTTGGAGCAAAAATTCATTCTTTGCTATCAGTGTACTTGGAGCAGAAATTCATGTATGGATGTACCTAGATAACTCACCTGATGTACCCCTTCCTAGGCGATGGACTGGGACTGGATGTGTTTTTTGACAACCTGATGAAGTGGTTGTCGGCTTGCATGCATGCCACTGGAGTTGCGTCAAGACGGTCCGTTGCTGGTATAACCCTCCAGGAAGAACTTGCAAACCAGAAGGTTTATTTACAACAATCTGAAAATACATACCATGAATATACCTTTGGCCCATAAGGGATAGTGTGAAAAATTCTCTACCAGCTATGCTACATTATGCTCTTTCTTTCTTATATATATATATATATACACACACACACACACACATACACATACATACATTATACATGCATACATATAAATACTCCATTTTCTTTATACATCCACTCATAAGACTTCCAACCGCAAGGCTTCTTTACTTTAACTAGTCCCAATTTAAAATTTGCATTCAAGATCAGAATTGGGCCTGTAGAAAAAGATCTATGAGTTTACAACAACTATGCCTCACTTTCAAACAAGTTGGGTGACTATATAGATCCTTTATATCCAATCCATTCATTTGGGTTTATTCTAATACTGGAATTTGCCTATAGATTATCTAAAGGGATTCTCTAAATATCGCATTTATCCCTACAGTGACATACAAATCTCTAACCAAACCAAAAAGACTCCTAGCGAACACCAGTTATAATGTAAGTATAACAACAACGATTAAACCTTTATTCCAAAATCAAATGGTTGCTCCATATAGACTTCTTCCTCAAGATCACAGTGAAGTAAAACATTCTAAATGTCCAACTGATTAAATGGCCTATGGTGAACGATAACCATAGTAGAAAAAGGCGGATAGATGCTATTTAGCCATGGGTGAGAAAGTATCCCTGTAATCCAGCCCAAATATTTGAGTATACCTTTTTTGGCAAAACTGAATCTGAAATAGAGAGAACACTATTGAAAAACTCATATCTATTAAATAATCTACCGGAGACAGTGCAACGCGGTCGCCGAAAAGTGCTTGAAATCTGGTATTAAATATATGGATCTCCTCGGAATAAATAGATTAGTCGATATTGAACAAGAAAATTGCCGTAAAACTGGTCGAAACAGGCTCATGCACCAGCGCGCATGGGGGCATGAGGGATCCACAACCGGCGACACGGGTTGGCCTTTGGTCACCGGAGGTTACTAGACCTTGTGGTAGTATTGGATTTTGCAAATAGTTGTGAGTAGCAACCGAAATTTGCACAGTGATTGCTGATTTCGATGGAATGATGCACAGCGATACTTTTCGAAAAAATGGTCGAAAAGAGACTCACGCGTGCGATGCGTGGTGTAGATCTCGCTGGAGAAGGCTGCTTTCGACAACGCGTGGCAGCGTGAGGAAGGTTTTCTGCCGGTATAATTTTGTAACTTATGGTCGCGAGAGGCTGGGGACCCCCTGGTGTTGGTTTTCATACAACACTGACGAAAACAAGATTTTGCGAAAGATAAAAAGAAAAGCAATAAAGTTTGAGAACCACAGAATCTACCAATGTGGTTTCTTTAAGTTTTGCCTATTAACCCAAGTTCTCTTAGAAAACTTCTTGACAAGATGGGTAGCCGGTAGCCAACAGGTGTTTTATCACAAATAGAAGGAAACTGGTTTTATCTTATCTTGTTTATTTATTTTTATTATTATTTATTTTGGGAAGGATGGAGCTACTACAAAGATTTCGGTCTTTTACTTTAAGGTTGGTTATGACTGGAAAGAAATGTCATCATTTTCTCCTTCATGTAGGCATTTGAATTGCTCAATCCCAATATGCATCTAGATGTCTTTAACTTTTCCATTGATCACCTGTGTACTCAAGTCTAGTTTCCTCTCTCTTAAGAGTCGGGACATCACTAAGATGTGGTCATTGATCTTTCCTCATGAATTTCCCAGTTTTCCTCTATCGCATAAATAAAGTATAAACATTGATAACAAAAATAACCTCAGATTTAATTTACCAAGTAGTCATCTTGAAATAGTACTTCTAGCAAGTAAGGTGCATCAGGTTCTCTCCAAGGAAGGCGATGATATACTAATTCAGCACCTGCTCTGCACATCCAAAAACTACACTTCAGATATTATTTCACCCAACATATGTAGGCTAAATCTTGCAAAAAAAAAACAAATCATTATACAGATGTGACCTGAGTTCAGTATCTGGTAAGATAACAACTTTACCATCAATTGTTATCTGCAATAATTAAACATGACCAAGCTTCATTCATAATCCCAAGATACTCCATGTGCATTAAACACCAAATTTAACCATTTCCTTGACGAACTAACCTGTTTATTTTGAATTCTCTGCAACCAACTGTTCAACAGTTTAATATCTGAATCTTCAATAACACAAGCAAAAAAAATAAAAAGAAGTTTTGCACAAAGGATTGGAAGCTTACCCTTGTAAAGGAGCTGAATTTTTGTACTTTCTAAAGTAGAATTCGATCAACATAAGACCTATTGATTTTGCAAGAAGTCTACAATTAATAAAAAGTTTATCGGAAAAATGAGTTTATTTATGTAAACACAGACCAGCATCGGTGGGTCGGACGATGTCATGGTAGGTTAATCCCTCATTAAGTTCTGGCCACGACACTCCAAAGTATGCCGTCACCACTGCAAGCTCTGCTTTTTCTGACATTCGTAACTCGGAGTAGGGAAAATATCGCCGGAAGCAACTTCCTGAAACGCTATTGTCAACAAATTATCATATTCTAATATTGTATCCTCGAACTTATATACAAACCAAAGGTTAAAAACTAATTGATGAATATTGTTATAGAAAATACGTCCTAAAAGGAAAACATTGTCTATTCAATAAAAGTAAATAATATTGTTTCAAATTTTCTTGTTTGATTTAAATTTACCAAAGTGTTCCCACATCACCTTCCACACACGACTTTTTTCACTTTAGAATCAACTTCAAAAGGGAGAGAAGTAGAAAATGACAGTTAATAGGTTAAAATTTCCAACCAAAGGGACTTAGATGGCCAAAATATAACACAGTTACTTATGTTTCTTTGTTCTTCAGGCTCCTTTTGTATGTTCTAGCTCCTGATCAAAGGGAATAACGGAAAGTGACAGCAACGGTTGTTATGAATCTGTGGTGTAACAGTGCCTTTGTGTTACTTGGAATTTCCTTTTTCCTTGTATTTGTTCTGGGTTTTGGCCTATGTTGCTTGGACTCTTCAAAATTGTGGGCGTTAAATCCTCAAAAAGTAGTCTATATTTGGAGTATTTGACATGAGTGTGGCATCATTTTTGGAGAGTCCGAGCAACATAGGGTTGGCTGAATGCATGAGCAATAAAAGTAAATAATATTGTTTCAAATTTTCTTGTTTGATTTAAAATTACCTAAGTGTTCCCACATCACCTTCCACACACGACTTTTTTCACTTTAGAATCAACTTCAAAAGGGAGAGAAGTAGAAAATGACAGTTAATAGGTTAAAATTTCCAACCAAAGGGACTTAGATGGCCAAAATATAACACAGTTACTTATGTTTCTTTGTTCTTCAGGCTCCTTTTGTATGTTCTAGCTCCTGATCAAAGGGAATAACGGAAAGTGACAGCAACGGTTGTTATGAATCTGTGGTGTAACAGTGCCTTTGTGTTACTTGGAATTTCCTTTTTCCTTGTATTTGTTCTGGGTTTTGGCCTATGTTGCTTGGACTCTTCAAAATTGTGGGCGTTAAATCCTCAAAAAGTAGTCTATATTTGGAGTATTTGACATGAGTGTGGCATCATTTTTGGAGAGTCCGAGCAACATAGGGTTGGCTGAATGCATGAGGATTTTGTTTATTGACTTCTAAATTAGTTTATCAAATCTAGAGAAGTTACTTTTAGTTGGCTGCTGCAGCTCTTTTATCTCTTGATCTTCCTAATTAAAGCTTCAGGCAGCAGTATCACTTTTGTTCCTGAGACTCTTGAAGAGAAATTTGGTCTTAAAGGCATCAAATTTTCAGATGCAGGGACAGTTGAGCTGACTGTTAGAAATGGAAGTTCAGTGAAGCTACAATACCCAATGCACACGTCACTTCTTATAAGCCTAAAGTTTATTGGAAAGATGATGGCTTGAGGAAGTTCTTTACACCCTTCCTCCTTCCAGAGGTGACATTGGTTTGGTAATCAATGAAATCTCGGAGCCTAATCCAAAAGGACCAGCACCAATGGCAAAGACAACAACCCACCTTCTGACCAGTGGACTGTCACAGATGTTGACTCTGACTTTATTGATGCTCTCCAGGTATATGGCACCATGTCAGTTATTTATTTAGAGCAATAAATGGAACAACTTTCTGAATACGCCTGTTCCAGATTATCTAAGATAAGATTGGAATGGTAGATTAGCAATAAGCATACATGATTAAATGATTGAACAAGGCCTAACCATTATCTCTATTCAAAGACACTTAATTGTTATCAATAACAGCAAGTGTTTTAGGCAAAAATAGAGAATTGTGTTGTGTTGAATTTCTTGATCCTTTAATTATCTTTCTCCTCAACAACTAGATTTATTTGTGTAGTGTTTTAGACATGATTTCAATCGTAATTGCATTTATCTCTTCTCGAGTATATGAACCACCATACAACTGAACAAGAGACAAAATGTTAAGTTCATAAATGGGAAGCAGAAAAGAGAATCAAGTAACGACTGGTTCAATAGCATTTAACAACCAATAGAGCTGAAAAGCTGCAAAATATCTACGAAACAAGACTCAGCAATTTGTTTTCTCTACTCTGTTTTCAACATTCAAAATTTTCACTCACTCTTTTTATCCTCCATTTTCTATCTCAACTCAGCATTGCCAAGTAGAGTCATTTCGAGCAGAGCACAGAAACAAGTCCAGGCAGAAACCCTAGGCCAAGACGACGACTTATCAGAGTCAAATAAGAAATCCGGGAACTGGAAGAACCACAGTTCAAAACTACACCTCAAGTAGCTGAGAAAATTGGTGATTATAGAACCAAAATTCAAAACTATTCTCAAAATCCATCAATATACCAAAACAAAAACTAATCTTAAATCATATACATACAAAAGAAATCATGATAGCTAGAATCAGTGAAGTAAAACACACAAATAAGTCGAGAAAATAAATTCAAAATACACCAGACGAAAGAAAATATAAATTACAATTTGAAGAGCAAAATCAAAGAATCAGAAAAATCAAATAGAGCTTACATCAGTAGATTCGTATCCCAAAACTCGAAGAAATCAACAAATTTCTGGCTAAAATGTTAAACTCAAACTCAAATTCAAATTCTACCAGCTGACAAATAATGTCAAAAAATTCAACAAAACCTTAAGAAAAAATCAGAACAACCGAGTATAGTTGGCTATTAGTGAAAAGGGTATTTTCGTAAAAACATGTATTTTGGTAAAAAGGAAATTAGTGAAAAGGAGAAAAATCATCTATTTCTGGCGTTATTATTTATTTTAAAAAAAAAAAAAAAAACAGTAGATGTTAGGACCCAGCAAGTTTAATAAACATTAATGGAGCCTAATGTAACTCCATAGTTTTTACTCTCTCCATTTCAAATTAATTAAATTATTGAGATGTTTCAACATCATTTAAGAAAAGAAGATTAAGACATAAATTAGGTTTAATTTTCTATTTTTATCCTTATTAATTATTATCAAAATTATAATTAAAATAACTAAACATTAATTAATAACTAATTTCAATACTACTAACTAATGAAGGGTAAAATTGGAAAAACATTTTAAAAGTAGTCTTGAAAATTGAACAATTAAGTTAATTTGAAAAATGAAAAATGTGTCAACAATTCAATTAATATGAAATGAAGGGAGTAGTATAATTTTGTGGATCATAGGAATCCACAATTCTACAAATTCAGCTTCTTCTTCTTTTTAAGTACATCTTTCAATTATAGTGTGTAATAAAATGAAAATTAACTTTTTTTTAATATCAATGTATATAATGTTGAATCCCTCATACTAGAGGGAAAGTAGTGGCAAAGGTGGCTAAAAAATGATATGAATCACATGTATGGCAATTGGCATCCTTGTGTCCACTATTTTAAAAAAATTGTGAAATTTGTTTTATTGATTTTTCTCTAAATAACCCGTATCTAGTATGATTTTAATCCGTCCTCAAATAGGATTAGCAATAAATTGTTGTGGATTAGTTATAACACTTCATAAGAATTTAAATCATTCACAATGAATTACAAATTATTGATTGTAACTTAATAGCTTAATTAGCTATATTTTTATAACCTTTGTAAAGTTGATCAAGAATATCAGGAAATAAAATAAATAAAAGTAATCTTAACAAAAATATTTCTTAAAAATAAATAGTTTTTAGTTGTTTGACCAAACAAGCTCTTCGTAATAAAATTATTCTGGATTAAAAAAAAATAAAGACTAATTAAAATTCTTTGTATAATTAAAGTAAATATAATGTGCCATGAAGCGCCTCCTAACCAAACTCCATATATTTTGTAGCTATCAAGGGTAAATATTTAATCAAAAGTTATAACACTAATTTATGATAGAATGACATGCATGATTTGGTTAACAACACATCCATTTGCTTTGGGGTGAAATGATGTGGATTCATTAAAATATAAAAAGTACTCAAAATCTCAATGTTGGAGCAGAAGCACCTGCTCTCTTTTATATTTATGCTATGTAATATTATACTATATATTCTTCCACCAGCAAAAGATCAACAGATTCATATTTATGCCCAATTTTTTCTTTACTAGAACACTGACAATGTGGCTGAAGACAATTGTTTCTCCATTTTCTCATCATTAACCAACTGTCCTTTTGCAACATATTTGCAGCAAAGCTGACAATGTAGAACAAGTTGTTCAAGCAAAATTATGAACTCTAAGCTCTGGAATGAATGGGACAACATGCCATTTGGAACCCAAGAAATTGCTTTTCAAATTGGCTGAACATTGACAAGAAGGGATGTGATAAACATTAATCGTCTATTTGATATCAACAACACACCAGTGTAATCCCACAAGTGAAATTTAGGGAGGGTAGAACGACCATATTGAATTTGTCCATTTAACACTTCTTCAGTTGCCTTTGATTTATGCTACGCAGTAAAACTTCCCCTTTTCAAAACGAGTTTAATTACTCTGGCGCTCTACAACATTTCATGCACCAATCATCTGCCAAAACAGTCTTTTGCAAGGAAGTACTAAAGACAATTAAGACGATCCAGCCATATGCACAATGAAACCAAGTTTCAGCCTGAGACGTGAAAGAATTTAAGAGAGACAGTAGACGGTAAAATGAACGATGAATCGCTCTTTGCTGAGAGCTGTGGAACAAAGGCAGACTGCAGATGGTAAAAATGTGCATAGAAATATATTACAGGGCCAGAAGATATCAATTTTGTAGGCAGAGTTGGTAGTATTTCAATCATCAAGCAACTATTTTTTTTCTTAAAACCTGGGCAAACTAGAGTTTAACCAGACAACTTTTTGTTTTCCTTCATATCTGAACTGATAGTTATAAAACACAAGTATGTTTTCAACTTGCACATGAAATTAAAAAAGAAGTAACAAATTACCAAAAGCCTCAAAGCTGTCGATCACATTCGAGTTTTGAGAGTTTATTTCAAGATCAATGTTGCTTTGTTTCAGCTCTACTCGGATCACCATTTGTTTTGTAGACATAACCACTACCTCGTGGAGTTAGAGAGGCTGTTTTCGAAAGACTCTTGGCTCAAGTGCATCAGGCCAAAATAAAGCATAACAGTTAATAAGAAAAGCAATGTAAAGTCTACAATAAAGAACAATAACCGCAGCAAAATAGTGTGATACTTGAAATACAATAAACTACTCAATGATAGAAAGCTCCGTTAAATCCTTGGTTCATAATCAGACACCGCGTTATAGGGTTTATGATGACTTTGGCCGGGAAATATCACTTCCTGACAATATCTGCTTTGTATTTGGTGAGGAAGTATCAGTTCCCGCCTTTGTATGCATTGTATTTGGATTTGTGAACCATGTCGTATACAGAAATTTCTTCTGGGGCCCTACATGATTGCATATAAGCTTAAGCTTTTGTCTTTCCCTCATCCATCTTAAAACTATCTTCATGTGCCCTTTGCTTGTCAAGCCTCTCAAGCCAACATCCTGGAGTTTTACAGGGAAAAACAGTTAGCAAAGAACAGCCTAGAGTTCTCAGAGTTAAGTACCAAGGGTTCATGAGAAATAGAAAAAAAGGTATACTCTGTACTCGGAAAAAGTACAGTAGCTGAAAAAGAAAGACTCAAATTTCCACCACAAATAGAAAGGAGAAAAAAACACCTGTTATTTGTTATATAGCAACTAATTGTTCTTGATATGGTGAATTAGATGCTAGGGATATTCCTTAAACTCAACGGTCAACTTGCTCTTTGCATGCAGCATATATTTCCAACACCTAGAAGACTTTGCAACAGCCCGCAATTTGTCAAGTTCATTTCACAAAGGATGATAAAATACAAGGCTGGAGATGCTTAGAGAAGAATGAATCTTAAAGAAAACAAGGGTAACAGATGACAAGATGAGCTGCTGAGGCCTCCAAAGAGACTTGTGAAGCTGCTAAGATCTGGTGTTGCTTAAGAGATCAAGAGCATGAGAGTCTGTGAAGTCTATACCTATTAGCAACAAAGTCACCGCTCAAACTATCAAAGATAAGAGAATGATGTAGAACTAAAGTCAAACATCATTGTGCATAGGAGCACCATGGAAGAAAACATAATTTCTATGCTTTTCCAAACTTCATAAACTTGAAAGAAAAAAAAAGAGGAGAATATTGAAGCATCTTTCAAGCATAACTTTGTGTGCGTCGATTTCAGATGAAAAAGTTCAAGCTGATACATGAACCTGTTTAGCTTGCTTAAGCATAAATCAACTGTTGCAAATTAAGAACTGGACCTCAACAATCAACTTATTGATTTCATCCGTTAAAATATATGCCATATCACTACAGTTTTCAATACAATCATCCATCAAAAAGCCTAGTGTCAACCCTTTGGAAAGAGGCATTGGAAAAATACTATTTGAACTATTATACTGATTGACAATTGTTCATTAATTTCAATTCTACCCAGAGGCAATCAAGTTTTTGCAAAAGCTGTAGTTTTGTTAATATCCCAACAATTCTCCCAAACACACATCAGATGTATAGAAAAAGTAAATCAATCTGAAAAATGAAAAGATTAGAGAAAAGGGTAAAAAAGGAAAAACTTTTCATTTATTTCAGTTCATTCAACACTGTACCAAAGTCCATTTCTTTTTCAGCACCCAGCAGTTCCAGAATCTAAGATTACCAGTGAGGCAACAAATCAACTAAATCTCAATCCAAAACTAACTATATGAATGATTCAAATGTATTCACTCTACGATTCAATTTTTTTATAGAATGGTGAATTGGAATTAGAGAATGTAGAGAGGTACCTTTACACGATCCCAGGTTTCGGCAATATTGAGAGGTCCATGCTCCTTGACGATATCGAAGATGGTTCTGGTGATGGTTTGTGTCTGCTCGGGTGGAGTTTTAAGCTTAATGGGTTTCATCTTTGGTTTTGGTTTCCTCCCTACCAACCTTATCGCTGTCGCAAACATCCTTCCTTCAATCTCTCTGGCTATGGCGTAAACCCTTTTGCTGTTTCAGAACCCAGTTTTAATCCCACTTCATAAGCCCTAAATTGTTGAAATTTAATGACAGTTTTACCCTCATTTATGTGTTACCACATTCCCCAAATTTTAGTTGAGACTTGAGAGTATAAAGGACGAATTCCACCACGAGAAGTATTCACTAATCATGAAAATCTGAAATAATTCTATTTTGTCTTCTTTTTCTTTTCTTTTTTTACTTTTACTATATTCTTTTGTTTTTAAATTTTACCTTAAATTTTTTATTTTTATAAAAATGATCCCATTTTAATTATATTTCATGTTTAAAAGTTTAAATCATTTTTTTTTTGGCAAAGTACACTCAAATAATTATATATATTATTTATATAAAAAAGTAAAATCAAATACAGTTTCAATTTAAAAAAAAAAAAAAATTGTAATAATATATAGTAGCTCATATATAGATCAAATATATGATATTATAACTATCTATTTGAGATACTATTCTTTTAGAGCATGTTTGGTTGCAGTCATGTACAAAAAAATAAAAATTGACAGATGAATGCTGATTTTTTAAAATAATAAGAATTTCTTTTTAATAGTTTCTAATGCAATTTTGTGTGAAATGTACCTGACAAAAGTCTATTGGACTATAACGTTTTTAGTATTTGTTATTAGCAATGAACAAGAGTTTTTTTTGTATTGAAGATCGATTCTTTTTACTCGTACTGGAGTTGAATTAAAAATTAGAAAAATGATTATTTAAAATAAAACATGTGATGTTATTTAATTAAACATTTTATATGTTTATCAACACATTAATTAAATAATTTATATTGAATAATGGTACACAAACAATGGATTGATGGATTAAAATAAAACAAAATTACGATAAAATGCGGAGTAATTTATTTTAGGAAAAATTCGAGGGGTTGTTTATGCATCTGGCCTACTATTAATTAGTATAACTATATTAGTTTGACCGGCTTAAATCGTGGTTACTCATGCACATATATATTGCCAAATGTTTGTGCTAGATTGGACTCATGTAGTAACCTAATTTATGTTCCTTGAGATTACGAAAAGTTACAAATCAGAATCTCTAGCAAGGAGCAATAACGTTATATCAAAATTTAGATTTTGAATTCAAATTGTATGTATTTTTGAACGCTCTCAAAGAGATCAAGAAAGTATCACATATAAATATAAAAACGAAATATTTATTTTGAAGACAACATTATACACACACAATCATACATAAACATAGAGGCGCGCGACATGAATGCCATCCATGCGTAGGCGCATATGGAAGCGCGCGGGGCATGGGCGCAAGAAGTGGGAAAACCATGCTTTATGACTATATATATAATATAATATATATCACTCAATCGACCTCAACAACATATGACGTTCACTCGAGGGTAAAAAAAAAGGGTAGACTTGTTAATAGTTTCAATGCATGCCAGGGATCTTGTCCATCATTCCTTTCTTATCGTCTCCTTCATTTTCAACTGCTGCAGTAGTAGTTGTTTGTGAAGTCTGATCATGACCTATTTCCTTCTTATCGTCATGAGTAGTGCCTCATGCTCCGGTCAACGTCTCCTTAATCTTCTCAGTTATACCCTTCTTCTTCCTCCGACCACCTTCACCATCATCCTCCGACTGCATGCATGCTCATAAAACAAAATCACGTCAAATAATTAATCAAATTTATTGGTACACTACGAGAAGACAAGGACTGACAAAATTTTATAGCTAAATAGTAAAAATTCCGTGCTAATCCAAAGTTAGCTATGGATCAGATTATATGAAAATTCCATTTATTTAGCTACAAAATTCCCTATCGCTAAATTTAGTAGTTAATTTCATATTTCTAGTAGCGTTAATTATAAAGTGAATTAGTAATTTAAAAAGTAAGGTAGTTCATCTGGTGTTTTAAAATACACTAATACTATAAAATACGGTCATTCCTTCGTTTTTTTAACTCGATGCTCAATTTCTAATTAAATTAAAAATGAATTGGAAGAGTAGATCATATATAAAAAAAACTTACAGAGCTACCAGAACGATGAAGCTGTTGTTGTCCCTCATGCTCTTTCTTCATAGTATCATCATGAGTACCGGCGGTAGGGGCAACACCCATAGCACCACCTTGAGTTCCATGTTCACCACTTAGCTGCTGCATTTGGTCTTCGTTAGTAACATGTTGTGCCATTTCTAGTCTCCCTTAACTTTAAAAGAAGAAAATTATATATGTATATTTCAAGGATTTGACGATGGATTGATGAGATAAAAAGAGATTACGTACTATGCCATTTATATAGGGAAAAAGTGAAGGTAGAAGCATGTTCGAGAAATATAGCAGAGTGAGCATACAACATAAGACAAGTGTGATGTTTTGGCTCAAATTCCTCAAACTGCAATACAAAACTAACACTTGGCCGCACCAACTTTACAAAGACAAATTAATTACTCTCACGTCTCCTTTTTAGTTTATTTTTAAAAAAAAAAAATCGACGGAGAAAATATATATTGTCGATATAAAAGATATTTATTGAATCAAAGTCATGAGTGGTATTAGGTAGGTAATTATATGTAAATCCATAAAAAATAAAATACTTCTTCTGTTCTCAAACAATCTATATGATACAATTGAAATTTAAAAAAAAAAAAAAA